ATTCATTTCTTACCTGCCCAATTATAATTTCCCAATTTTGCATTGCATTTTGGACATTTAATTTTTCCATCTAATTCGCCTTCTTCCTTATCATTTTGTTTCTCTCCTTCAAGTATCCAATCCAACGGTTCAACAAAATATGATGAACATAATGATTTAGAAATTGATGAATATGAATTATCCCGTTTTTTATATGAAAATGCATTTTGACCAGATCCTTGAGTATGCGTAACAAAATTTTCTGTTGATATTAATGTACGTCTTTTTTGGGGAAAATATTTTGTTAATTAATATTAACACAATTAAAAATTTATTAATGTGATTAATGTGATTAATGAATTAATATATCCTAAACCAATTATTATAAAACGCACCTATGGTGGTTTTGCACCTATTATATGTTTTCATTATGTTTTTAAAATTTTCTAAGTTTTTATAAGTTTTATATATAAAATTTTTAACCCCAATTTTTTCACGTTAAAGTTAATATTAAGGTTAGGATTAGGGTTTGGGAAGGGTTTTTGGGGGCGTAGAATGTTTTTACTTAGAACACCTTACATCGATTAATTAGCCAGTTTTTGAGATAATGTATACATAGGTGTAAAACACCATAGGTGCGTTTTAGTAAAATCCATTTAAAAAATCTTATTTCTCAAAACAATAATGTTAATTTGAAAGCTTATTAGAATTACCTACCGACATTTTTTACATTTTAAAGCAACTAATCGTGGTGTGGTCTCTGTTGTTTCTTGTTTCAATTCTGAAAATTCATCTATTTCTGTAATCCAATGAAATTTTCTTTATTTGTTATCCTTTGAAATTAAAAAATCTCTCGGTTAAACTATATATACCTTCTTTTACATCAGTCATCATGGATTAACAATATTAGAAAGTTAAAAATCGGAAAATCGTGAAAATCATACGTAAATATTATGTATTAGAAAATCAGGTGAAATTTCTTATTCCAAATTAAGAATATTACAACTAATTTCATCGTCACACATCAATAGATCCAACTTTCTTTTGTCTTTTCCATTAAAAAAAGAAACCCTTTTTTTTCAACCAAAATTTACGTGGATAAAAATTTGGACCTAAATTTAACTTTGGTATTTATCATTTGTCTTCTTTATTTGATTGATATAATAATTTATTTAAAAATGTATTAGAAAGTATTCTATTTTTGCCGTTCAGGAAATTCTTGCTACCTAATGATAATTTCTAATTTATATTACAAAAAATATAATATATAAATATATATATATACATATATATTACTATTACTTCATAATCCATATGATTCATATGATGACGATCTCAAATTAAGGTATTTTAACGAAACATTTAATTCAAATCTTTCATACAAGATTTAATAATCTAATAATGTTTAATTTATGTAAAAAAGAAAATATGAGTAATAGTTCAAGACATTACTGTCCCGAATGTGATCAACAATTAGACAATAATTCTCGGTGGTGTAAATCATGTCAAAGACGTCACTTTGAAGAAAATTTCGATAATTGGACTTCTGGTGATAAAGAAATTGATGAATTTATTAAAGAAACTCAATTAAAAGCCGAAGATGCTGATCAATATTTAGAATGGATTCCATTCTCTGCTTTTATTAATGTTACTAAATCGGATATTTCGGAAGCTGGTTCTTTATTTACTGCTAATTGGGTTAGAGGTCCTGCTGATACTTGGGATCCTAATGAAGGTGAACTTATTGCTAAAAGAAGTTTAGTAAAAGTTGCTTTACTTTTTATTGGAAACTCTTCAAAATTATTTTTAAAAGAGGTTTGATCTATTTATTTTATTATTTAATTATATACTTATATTTAAATATATTATAATTATTTATTTTATAATTAATTATCTTATAATTTATTTATCTTATACATCCTTTTGTTTTTAGCTTAAAATTCATTATCATGGACGTACTCGTAATGGTCTTATCATGCGTCTCTTTGGTATCACTCGTGAATCAGTCACAAATAATCTTATGATGGTTGCAGAAACAGTAGAATGGGATTTACGTCATTATGTATCTCATCATTTTACACGACTTACCTGGCAAAACAAAATTGCAATTTTATATTCTGTTACTTGTGCTCTTGAAATTCAAAAAAATGGTCTTCAACAATTACAAAATGATTATATTACTGATTATAGAACTGTTAAATCTCATATTGAAATTCCATTAAATGAATTAGGTTTAGGTGATTCAAAAGATTTAATTCCTGTTATTGGTTATTATAGATATGATCTTCTTCCATTTATCGCTCCTGAAATTATTGGTGGTGAAAAATATTCTATAAAAGTTGATGTATATACTTTTGGAATGTTAATGTGGGAATTCTCTTCCAATAGACCTCCTTTTTATGATCGTCCACATGATGCAAAACTTTTTAATGATATTTTTGAAGGTTTAAGACCTAAACAACGTGATGATGTTCCGGAATGTTATAGTGATTTAATGCAATTATGTTGGAATACAAATCCTATTCATCGTCCAACAATATCAGATTTAGTAAAACGTTTTAGTGATTGGCATCTTTTTGGTAAAGAAAAAGATCAATTTGTTCTTTCGGAACAAAAAAGAATTAAACGTGTTTTGGCTAAAGGTTTAAATCCTGATCCTGGTCGAATGGCTACTCCTCCAAAAGTTCATCCTCAAGCTATATATACTAGTAGATTATTAAAATTTCCCGCTCTTCCTATACCAAAAAATTCTCAAAGAGGTTTACCAAAAAGAGCTAATTCTTATAATGATAGTGATAATGGTCGTACTCAAATGAGTACGAAAGATTTGGCTTCCATTCTTATTCGTGATGAAAGTAAGTATTATACTACTAAATCTTTAATAATTGATAATTTATGAAATGCCGTAGGTGGGAATAGAATTTAAGTTGATTCGGATTTTTAAGGTTAGGGTTGGGATTGTTAGTATAATTATTCCATTCTAATCGATGTGGAATTATGGTTCCATTCCCACTTACAACATTTACATTACTTTTTTAAATTTATATTTTATTTAAATTTATATTTTTACATTTATATTTTATTTACGTTTTAAATTTACGTTTACATTACTTTTACTTTCATATTTTACATTCTCATTATGTATTTCAAAGGTTTCTTTTCAACGGCTGCACTTATGCAACGACGTTCAGCTTATCCCGAACCAGAGGTTGAACCTGAAGATGAAGACGCTTTAAAACAATATGAATTATCTATCCCTAATGATTGTAAGTAAATTAAATTATAAACTCATTAAACCCATTAAAATTTGGATTAAATTTTTATTATATATTTAGTGGATTGTGATGTATCTGACGATAAGGATGATAAACCATCACTTTCATAATTAAATATAGAATCAATAAATATTTCACGGGATGATTCTTCTACTAATGGAATTACATGTTCTAGTCCCACTGGTATTGAGAATGATTATTCTTCAAATGGAATTGCATGTGCTAGTTCTACTAATGTGGAACATGTAGAATAATAGAATTTTATATAACTTGAGGTGTTGTAAAAGCTTTTTTAAAATAATTTTGATTATCTAATTTCATATTTATATATATATACATATTTATTTATTTAAAAATCAATAATTATAGGTCTAGTTAAATTTTGGGTTAAGAACAATTTTGTTAGAGTTATTAGTAAATATATTTATTGGTTGTTTTTTTTTTTAATGTGTTCAATATCTAGTTAAAATTAAAATCTTTAGATAAACGAAAATAAAATAATAAAATAATCTAAAGATTATTTAAAATTTTAAAATCAGGGTTTTTTTTTCCTGGTTTTGTTTATATTTCTATACTATTTTTCATGCTTATTACTCTTATTTTACGAAATGGACTAAATCTTGATACATTACAACTAAGAGAATAAATCCTAAAGACATAATGGCTCAAAAATTAAATCCTCACAAAAAATCATCTACGGCAATTGTATCTAATAACATAAATGAACATTGTGCAATATAATACATATTTTTAATACATTTTTTTACTCGTAGCAAAATATCCACTTATCATCAATCTGTAAAACAGTTGGAAAAATTGAGTTCATTAGATATTATTCAGACGGCCAATATTATTACCTAATTGTATTTAGAAAATAAAGGCATGGGATATTCACAAAACTTTATAAAGAAATATGGGTTGCCATTAATGAAGATTAGGTAAATTCCTCTAATAGATCTGCTTGATTTAATAAAAAATTTTGTTAAAGGGTCAAATCAAATCTATGTATGGCATGGTTCGACTGTTCTTACAAATTGTTGTCGTTATAATAAATGAGCTACTCAAGTTTTCTTAAGTTTTTTAAGAAAAGAACCTTAAGACCTTTAAATTAGAATACTTTTGGTATTTTAGATGAGTTATCTAAAATCTTAAAATAACTATATTTATGCAAACTTTTATAACGGCAACATTTAGAAAGACAAAATATAAAAATATCTTTGAATATTGTACTAGATCAAAAGTATATAGCAGTGATATTATAATCTACCGTACCGCACTGCCCCTATTTAATACCCCCTTCAAATAATACCCGGATACATTACACAAAAAAATCTCGAAAAAATTGTGTATTAAGATTTAATCGACTTAATTGAAAATTATTGAATCATAATACAATCATGTCACAGTGCCCCCAGCTTGTATACCCACTCTTGGTTAAGTACCCAGGGATTGCCATGTATAATACCCTTCTTTTTTGATAAGACCCGAGTACTAAAGGCAGTGCGGTACGGTAGTTGATTTTTCTAAATTTTGTTTTAAAAATAAAGTATAGAAGATTCTTTATACTAGTAGTAAGATGATTTTTTTTAATATTAAGGTGACCTTTTGGAATCTTGGTATGTTTATTAACATTAGTTCAAATGCTAGTATATACAATTATAAGAACTATATCTGATTTGGTTATATTGATAAGATTGTAGTTCTGGCAATTTCTAGCTTGTTTTTTGCCAAGTCTAATATCAGAAATTGCAAGGTATCGATTGTTTTTTTAGAGTCTAGATGTTTGCAGCATATAACATAATTTTAGAATTATATACATATTATTTATGTACTACTTGTGCGATTAATATATTTTTTGGTTTAAAATCTGTGCTATTGTACAGTATGAATGATCTCTTTGGCTCTTGCTTTAACTAGTGTTTCGTCAAGTTTGCTGTTTAGCCAGGCTTCTAAGAACCTTGTAATCTTGTTTTTTTCTTAAAATAGTATAATTAACAGCAATATTCAAAATATATATAGTATATTTATAATAACTAAATCTAATTTTTTTCTATTCTCTTTCTAATAAATTTTTATATAAAATGATTGCTAGATAGTTGTTTGTAGTTAATATAATAACTTTATTACTAATATTCTTATATTTTTACAAAATTTAATTAGCTTTTTTCTTGTATATACTACAATATAATTAGATTCAAAATGAATTAAATCAAGTCAAAATTATTTTATTTTTTATTTAATATCAATAAAATACTAAAATAGACTTGATTTGCTAATAAAATTCAAATATCTGCAGTAAGTATTATTTTTGCATTTAAGTTTTTAAATTCTTTAGCAACAAGTAATTTTTAAATCTTATATTGCAACATTATTTTATTCTTTATATGTTGATAATTTGGTAAAGTATATCTGGTTAAGATATTAAAAACGATATTACTAAAATGCACCATAGATGTTTAGCACCATGTTATACAATCCTATTAGAATAGCCAATTAAAATTTAGAATCAGGTGTAACGTAAAATTTTGTTTCTTTGTTTATTTTTTTTTAAAAAACACCAATATCTCAAAATTACACTTATGAAACCACCTTTG